TCGCTTACTCCTTCTCCCATGTTTTGTGATATAACTTATTCCTTTGTTACTTAGGAAAAAGAACATTGAATCCATATAACCACTATTATTATAACCCAATGGGATAAGGGTTGGTTTTCTGGCAGCAAGTCTACCTCTAATCTACAATACAACGATAAAAATGGGTAATAAACTTAATAATTCATAAGATTAAAAAAATGCAAAAAAACCGCGATTTTTGCAATTTTTTTTTCGTGACATATTAGGTTGGTGCAAATGAAATGTCCGTTTTCAGTGTTTTGAATTTCCCACCCCTATAGATTACTTTTCTTTCATACAGAGGACGGTGTATATATATTGTGTGAAAAGTACACGATCCACATGTGATTTAGCGCACATAATTTTATTTCTATATTGTACCGTTAGTCATAGAAGTTTGCATTAACGCTGTGATGGAAAATAGAGAAATTCGTATAATTTACTTATACGAGTTCAAACTTGGTCATACTGCAGCCGAGGCAACGCGTAACATTCATACTGCATTTGGTGAAGGTACTGTAAGTGAGAGAACGACGAGACGTTGATTTGAAAAATTTCGTTCTGGGGACACAAACCTCGACAATTTGTCTCGCGGACACGCATCTTCCGTCATTGATGACGTTGTTTTGAAGGAGATGATTGAAACAGATCCAGGGTTAACAGTCTGAAAGACTGTCAAAAGATTCGAAGTTGATCATTCAACTGCCGTCCGATATTTAAACAATTTGGGAAAAGTGAAACAGTTGGATAAATGGGTCCCCCATGAAATCATAGAGAGAGACACATTGAGACGTTAGGAGATCTGCATTTCTTTGCGGTTGCGACAGAATACAGATGGAATTTTACACAGGATTGTGACTTGTGATGAAAAATGAATTTTGTACGACAACCACTGACGTTCTGCGCAGTGGTTAGATGCGAACGATGCTCCAAAATACATTCCAAAATTGAATCTTCACTCTAAGAAAATGATGGTATCTGTATGGTGGTCTAGCAAAGGTATTGTTCATTGTGCATTTGTCAAACAAAGTGAGGTTAAAAATTCTGATAAGTACTGTCAGGAAATTGCCACTATGCACCAAAAACTGTGCGCTCCACAGCCAGCATTGGTCAACAGATACGGCATGTTGCTGTTGCACGATAACGCTAAACCACACATTGCAAACCAAATCGGTTAAAAACTCGCCGAGTGAACATTGGAGTTCTCCTTCACCCTCCCTATTCTCTAAACATCTCACCAACAGATTATCATCTTTTCAAGCATCTGGATGCGTTTTTGGCGGGCAAAAATTTCAATGAAGAAAGAAGTGTGAAAAATGCATTTAAGGAGTTTATCAATTCACGCTCTCTAGATTTTTTTAGAAAGTGTATTGATGCATTTGGATCACGTTGGCAGAAGTGTATTGAAGTAGGTGGAAGCTATTTTGATTAGTTATGTAAGTTTTACATTTGAAAAATACAAGTTTCAACTTTATATTTATAAACGGCCATTTCATTTGCACCAACCTAATAGGTCTGAGAGACCTATGATGTTATTTCACTGTTTAAAGTTGACGCTGACTGACGAGATCTTAGGTCCGGTTTTTCATTTTTTGGTTAACTTGTGTTTTGGTCTTAACTTTATGATAATATAAAAATTATGTTTATTTATATAGTTAATATCATTAAATTTATAAGTTACCATTACAAAACCATAAATTTAATGAATAACCATGATAGAAAAACACAATTTTTAGAAATAGAAATAGAAGATAGAAAAATACAATTTTTGTATTATCATCATTTTAAGTTTAAACCACAAGTTAACCAGAACATGAAATAACGGGTTTTAGAGTTCTTTCGTTTTATCACATTTGACGTTGATATAAAGAAAAAAAATATTCAATGAGACATTGGAGATATTTTTCAAATCCCGCAACGATGTGAATGAGTTAACCCTAGTTCGCCACATTCCGGTTCAGTGGACCGTCGAACGTTTTTCGGTTTTTCAACTTTTTCTTACAATAATAAGTTTAGTTTAAAACCAAGTCGTTTTCTTTACCTAATATCATAAACATCTTATACAGACTCTGTATTTCCAATTCCCACATCACAATCTTAAAAATATTAACTGGAGTAAAAATGACAAGGCGACAAATTCGAGCGATTCGGAGTGTAGCGAATTAAAGACACAAAAATGGCTAGCTAAGGTTAACGTTTCGATATAAGTTCAACGGATCGGCGTATAGTTATTATTAACTTTCTGCGCGAGAGGAGAAACAAGGAAGAGAAAAGCGATTACGTAAGCGCGGAAGAGTACGTCGAACAGAATGAAACACCCACCAATCTCTTTCTATCTTTCTCTCGCTATATCTCGAGCGAGGAGGAAGGTTTCCTGCATTAGGTACGTACGTTCACGGTCGTAAAGGCGCGATGATCTGTGGGGTAGAGGGTGAGCGGCGGCTGGTACCGAGGGGGTTGCAAATTGAATAACAAACGTTCACCCTCCTCGGTTAAATCACCGAAAAAGCCATTCCCCGGACTAGCACGCTGCCTAGACGTTAACCGCACCCCCTCTCCCCCCACCCCGCGAATTGCCGCGCGCCGCAAGCAGCCGACTCCGGCGACCCTCCTTCTCCCTCCATCCCACCCTTGGCTGCTTTGCATAACGATCTTATTTCGTAATCTCTGCCATATTGATCCAGTTTACGGCTGCAGTACGCAGTGAAAATTGTTTATAGCCACCGTGCCACCGCCGCCACTAGGACAGTCGCGCCGCCGTCTCTTCGCCGTTTCCCGGCGAGATTAATCTTGTCTCGTCCTTGTGGATCATAAAGATCCAATTTCCGAATTGAATCCATTCTAAATACCTCGCACACGTCCAAGTGCCTCTGACGTCTCTCTTCCGTAGGGCGAAGTGTACCGGGAGGGGGAGGGGGGGGGGGG